GTTTATATGGATATTGTAGTTGCTATGCACATATGTTGCAAACGTGTGTTTGTAAATGTTTCATCTGTTTCAGACGTATGTTGCATAAGTGATTTCATGTTGCAACATTAGCAAGCGTTGGAAGCTGGCGCATGTAGATGCGGTCCCCACAGGCATAGTGGTCCCCACGTGCGCGGCAAGCGAAGCGGGCCTGTGGCGCGTCAACAGGCATATGGTGCGGTCCCCACCTGCATGCGCATCAACAGGCATGTGGCGTGCAGCTGCATGCATTCGTGCATGGCGTGCAAGCGCAATAGTTGCATGTGGCATGCGGGGGCGGGCGTGCAGGCGCAATAGTTACAGGCAGGGTAGGCGCCGTTCCATTTCTTCATGAGTGGAGCGCATTCGCATGGGAACCGTGCGTTCGGAGGAAAAAATTGTTGCGACTCCTGCAGCTGCATGCAGTAGAGAGAGGGCGCTGCTAGCACATGCGAGACTGAGGGAGTAGGGCATGCAGGTAGGTGCTCGACGCTGAGGTGGGCACGCAGGAGGAGGTGAGGCATCGTAGTCAAGGCGGACAGCGTGGCGGGGCAAGCGCGGGCGTTTGGATAGGGGCTAACATGTCCGGATGTCCGGACGCTAGCCACGCTCTCCAAATAATGATTTAGAGTGGAGATGCTCTAAGGCCGTGTTTAGAGCTCTAAAAACTTTAGAGCATTTAAGCTCACTTTTGATGTCTAAAACTCTAATGTGAGGTGGGCTAAAATTTAGAGCTAACTTTAGAACGTCTATTTAGAGCTTTAGATCTAAAATTTAGAGCTCTAAAGTTTAGAGGAGAGGATATAAACAGACCCTAACACTCCTGTCAGGACCTGTGCTGATGTACCTATGTGTCGTGCTATATAACGAAGACATCGGCAACCCAAAGGGCTTGAGCTGTTCTATCAATTTTGACATGGTATCAAGAGCCTACTCCAAACATACATCTAGTCGCGAGTAGCAGTTTTTTTCTCCCTCGACGTCGTCATGCATGGCCACACCAAGTTCTTCGGCTTCTGTTATTATATTCTCAATTTCAGTGACACAAAAGTTGACACAGGAGAATTTTTTGGTATGGCGCACTCAGGTGTTGCTTGTTGTGCGTGCTACTCGTCTTGCTGGTATTCTTGATGGGACAACAGCTGTGCCGCCGCCCATGATTCAGGTTGAAAGAAAGGTTGACAAAACAAAAGAGGAGGTTCAGAATCCAGCTTATGTTCAATGGATTACAGGACCAACAATTGTTTGAAGCTCAGAAGCTTCAGACGAGCAGGATCCACCATGTAAACGTAATGATGGTATCCATAAAAGTTGTGTTGGGCCTTCGGCTTCTCAGGCCTCACATACATGGGCATGGGCCGGCCTCTATGGTATATGAATGGGCTAGGAATTTTACATGTCAGCCTAGTTGAGGTAGTAAGGTATGAGTACATCTCTCGAACTTCAGTAAAATCACTTTATTCCTTGGGATGAAATAGACAGCGGAGGATTAATCCATATCATTTCGAAAGGATCAAGATGCCCAAAAAAAATAATGAATTGAGCTAATTCTAAATTTCTTTCAGTAATTAAGCCCTACACTTAGCCCATTTCACCCCCTTGTGCCTAGAAGTGTTTCTATGGTTCTACCGCACAAAAGTTTTACACCCTAGGTTCCAATCCTACTCTAGCATGGCAATTCTAATAATGCAAAGACATGAATTGAATTGCTCAAAGTAAAGAGAAGAAGAGGAATGCGGCGATGTTTTTCCGAGGTATCGGAGAGTCGTCACTCTCCACTAGTCCTCGTTGGAGCACCCGCGCAAGGGTGTAGCTCTCCCTTGATCCACACAAGGAACAAGTGCTCTCTACGGGCTGATTCTTTGGCACTCCGTCGCGGTGAAGCGACCACAATCGCTCACACCATGACTTGGGTCATCCACAAGCTCCGTCAGATGATCATCAAGCTTCCAATCACCACCGAGCCGTCTAGGTGATGGCGATCACCAAGAGTAACAAGCACAAACTCTCACTTGACCAAGACAAGCCTAATTAGAAAGGTGGATGCACATTTGCTACTTCCTATGCACTAATGAGGTCCTTCATCTTGGATTATCAAATCTTAATCACCCCACTAGACTCTTGCTCTCCCTTGCACTCCAAAGGTGTTTCTCAACTGAACAAATAAACAAGAGCACTAAGTTGGACGAGTAAGAGAAGTATATATACTCCCCACTTTAAAACATAACAGTTATTGTCCAACTCAGCAGTTTTCGAGATGACCGGACGTATTGGTCGAAGTGATTGGACGCGTCCGGTCAGTAGTCAATGGCTACGTGGCTTTAGCATGCCGAGAAGGCTATAGGAGTCACGACACATCGGCTGGCGTCCGGTCAACATCCACCGGACGCGTCCTCGCGAGAATTTTGGTCTCTGGACCCTCTCTGATGTTGACCTGACGCTACAAATGCAGTGTTCGGCCATTTACTATTCATCATCCAGTCCTCCCTGACAGCGAGGCCCTACTGCTACATATATGACTAGAGGCGCATCCGGCTCCAATCACTGTGCAGCGTCCGGTCGCTCCTCGGCTTCTGTTGTGCGCACTGATCAGTGACTGGACGCAACACCTGTTAGTCCGGTCATCACTAAAACAGCGTCCGGTCAACGTTTGACCCTTCATTCACTTACAATTCAAAATCCTTTGTGAATGAGGTTGACACTAATTTATCTTTGGGCTATTCCTGAGCTACCTAGTGCTAAGTTTGACAAGTGTGCATCACACCTAACCCATTAGACTCACCTAGGTCAAGCTACTAGTTCACATCCCCCTTAATAGTACGGCCAAATGAAAACCAAAGTCCTAAACTACTCTAAGTGTCTTTCCAACGCCAAACGACACTTAGAACTAGTTCGTCCTTAACCTTTTCATCCAACCTTTGAAAGCCAAAACGATTTCCATCAATAGGGGCATAAAAACCATAATTACCCAAACAATCATCATTACCATGACCTAACTCAAGTTACCTCTGCAAAACACATGTTAGTCACAGTAATCTCATGTCGTCATTAATCACCGAAACCCATCTAGGGGTCTAGATGCTTTCACATTTCACAAACCAAACCAAACAAAAAAGATTGAAAATTAAGAACATGATGAGCCAATCATTTTTTTCAAAAGAAATGCACCAATACGCCATGAAGCTAGCATCACAAGGCCTCTAGAAACCTCAGGCTTTACTGGCCTCTTCTCTTCCTCTTGGAACATAGCCTCTTTTTTCCATAATGATACACCACGGGCGACGTGAATCCCAGACCTGCACAGGACCGGCCCCCATCTATAAAAAACAAAAACAAAAAATCCCCACTCCGCTAAACCACCAGCCGCAGCGTGGCCGTTCATTCGCCCACCCCATTCTCCCACTACGTGCCCATCCCTCATCGCGTCGTGCCCTTTCCCACACCGAGCCACACCCCATCGCCGGCCATGCTGTGCCCCATCCCCCACGAGCAGACGGCACTGGATGACTATGGCCAAGCGAGCAGCAGCACTAGAGTAGCAACAGTGAGGCGCGCTAACGGGCATGAGCCTAGGCATTGAGCAGGCACGGAGACAATTACAGGAGGAGCGATGGGCCACACCGATAGACGTGAGCACGCAGAGCGACGTCCACCTGTCCCGAGCTTGCTGACTACTGCAGTTCCCCACTAGGTAGGCCATGGCTGACGGCGATGTCGTGTTTCAAATGATTTAGGCGTTTCAGGATTATGTTTCAAGTGTTTCAACTGGATGTTGCAAAATTATATCCGAGATATTGCAATGACAATATACGCATGTTGCAAGCTTATGTTTTCAAGAGTTTTAGGTGTTTTACAAGTGTGTTTCAAGTGTTTTATCTGGATATTGTATATGTTGCTATGGCTATACGCGTATGTTCTAAGTGTATGTTTTCAAGTGTTTTAGATGTTTTAGACTTATGTTGCAATTGTTTCATATTGACCTTGCAAAAGTGGATCTGAATGTTGCATTTGTTGCTATGGTTATAAATGCATGTGTCAAGAGCATGTTTCTTCTATTTTCATATGTATGTTACAAATGTTTCATCTGTATGTTTCAAAAGTAAATCGAGGTTGCCATGGGCGCTGGTGTGGCTGGCGGACAACGGCCTGCAGCAGCCGCCTAGTGCTGCTGCTTGGCACCACTGCGATTCACATTGCAGGTGCCTGAGGCTAGCAGACGCCTCCGTGGCGTGCATTCACAGACGGGGCAGCTAACTTGGGACCCACGTTCCTCGTGCGGGTGCGGGATGGGTGTAGGTGCATGGTTCTGGATGCTGGCGCACGATGCGAGCGGGATGTGATGCAGGGGTGTCACACGGGTGCTGCATCTAGAGACGTTCTGCGGCTGGACGTTCGGGCGCTATCCCTTCTGCTTTTTTCCATGCGAACAAAAGCACATGGTAGAAATCCAAAGTTCAGAATGTGGATGCTTAGGCTAGTCTCTGTAGAGAGTTCCATTGCGTTATTTCTAAAATTGCCACGTCATATAGAATGAAATAGAACTTGGATGAAACACCCACTCTCAATACGAAGTTTCATTCCTTGGTTTCATAAACATTAAATTCTAAGACCAAAGTTCAGCTAGGCGCTAGGCGGAATCTAGGCGCTGACCCATTGCCTAGCGCCTAGTCGGGAGTACTCGGTCCTAGGCGCTCCTAGGCGTTTTGGCAATATAGCCATAAATTATATATATATATATAACTATATATATATATAACTATATATATATATTATGTATATAACTATATATATGTATATAACTACTATATATAAGTCACAGTAAGTATAAAAAGAGGGCCAGTAGACATATCTGATTCCTAGCTGGCTTACTCTTGCATGTTCCTAGCTCCTGCAACACATTTTGACAGCCAGTAGTTAGTAAATTAGTCAATAGACAGCTAGCTGTTCATAAAAAAAATAGAAAACACTAAGTTGTGACTTATCTAGATGATTTCAGCAGCCTCCCATCCATGAGCACACCATATCTTGCACTTCTCTTTAGCCTCCATAGCCTGTGGTGTTCTTGCTATGCATTTCTTCACATTCTTTCCTTCATGAGCCAAATGCTCCTTCAGCCTATGAATCCCTCCTCTCATCTCCTTGTTACAGAGCTTGCACTTCACCTTGTCCTTGTTGCTAGCATCAACAAGAACACCATATTCCCATCCAACATCATCTGAGTTCCTTTTCAGGAGATTAGTTGCCTTAGTTCCTGTTGCATCTGGTGCAGAAACACCTTGTTCTATCGACATCCTACATTCAAATTCAAGAGTTTACCAATGAACCGCAGTACAGAGAATAGGGAACAGAGCATGCACATTAGACATTCAGTAAACTGCAACTGTAATCATTCAGTAGGAAATTCAGTAGGAACAGAGCATGTGCATTAGATATTCAGTAGGTAAAGTGCAACTGCAATCAAAACTAAAATTATTGGAAGACTTCACTGAACAAACACATTTTTACTGTTAACTAATGATGACAGCAGCAGTAGTCTCATATTCAGTAGACTCATTCAGTAAACAAAAGACTTCACTGAACAAACACATGTAGATTCAGTCATACAGGGGAGATGAGCAGGGGAGGAGCTGCCAGCATGGGAGGGGAGAGGAGCATGGGAGGGAAGGGAGCTCACCTTGGGGACTTGGGGTGGCCGGCGGGGAGGGGTTCCAATCGAGGACGAGTAGGATGGCGGCGAGCAGGGGACGAGCTTGGACGAGCAGGGGAGGAGCAGAGGAGGAGCAGGACCGGCGGGAGGAGCAGGACCGGTGGGGAGGAGGTCGTCCGGCGGGATGGACCTCGCCTGGTGAGGAGGACCGGCGGCGGGGACGACGAAATCTTATGCGGGGACGAGCGAATGGCGCCGCGCTCCCTTCTAATCCTCCCGCGCCTAGGTCTCGTGGCCGCGTGCGGGCCTGGCCGTGCAGGAATTCCTCCCGCGCTCTGATTTGGCGCACCAAAATTGGCCGCCCTTGAGCTCGCACTCATCTCGCGCGCCTACGCGCCGCCTAGCGCCGCCTCCGCACCGCCTAGTACCGCGATGCGCGACTATGCCCCTAGTCGCGGCGACGGGCTTCGCCCAGCGACTAGGCGTGCGTAGTTGCCGAGTAGTCGCCGCCTAGCCGAACTTTGTCTAAGACTCATGGGGAGTTGGTAATCGTGCCAAGAGAGTTTCATCCCCATAAAATTTATTTCTTCTCTCCCTTCATAAAAACATTGCCATGTTATAAAAAATGCATATGTGGCAGGCTATTAAACGCAAATGAAACTCTCATGAAACTCCCACTGAGACTGGCCTTAGCACAATTTGCGACAGTGAACCCAAAATTCTCTGGCAATGCAATCGTGTTGTGCATTGCCAACTTTTTGTCATCGATGTAGATTTGTTTGGTTCTAGGCTCTTTACTGCTCCCTCTGTCCCGCATTTCAAATACCACTACATGTCTAGAAACTATCATACCCTATCGATCCATGAGAAGAACATTCCATAAGGCAACCATTTCTCGAATGATAGAGGAGTAAATGTGTAAGTTTACATCGACACTAATCTTACCCCGAAAAGTGAGATTTGCATTGTTTCTTATAAGTATCTTCTTTCCTAGTGCCCTAGACTCCTACGTGACTCTTGTCGTTTTAGATGCGATGATCCTTTCATCCTATACTTCATTTCGTTTGAGAGGAAGGTAGCACTACTACGAGAATGGACTTGTTGTCCCAAAGTGTAACGGCCTTTAGTCCCGTTACCGTGTTGGGACAATGATCCCGGACTAAAGGTGCCACCTTTAGTCCCGGGTCATCAGCCGGACTAAAGGCCCTCCACCCGAAAGCAAATGTGGCAAGCACCCTTTAGTCCCGTTGGTAACCCCAACCGGGACTAAAGGTTCCTTTTCTTTTTTTTTTTTTGTTTAATTTGTTTTTAGTTCAGTTACACGTATTTGTTTAATATATAATATGTTTTTATGTACGTATTCTACGCTGCTAATATAAATACACGCACGCATATAATTACATCTAATTCTCATCTCGAGCATTATTATATTCGAATAAAGTATGAACCTATATATATTATAGATATATATATGTATATATACAACACTTTCATAATCTTGTTATCGAAAATAACGATATCAATAAACATTTAATTTACACCATTTATTCCTTAGGATCAAAGTAGAACTCGCCGTTGGGATTTAGCACTTTTTCTAGAAGAAATCCTGCTATTGACTCTTGAACTGCTTTCAGATGGTCTTTTTGCATGACCCTTCGTTTCAACCATTCAGTCTTGCATTTGAAATAAAAGGAAAAGTATTAATACATATATATATATATATTCATTTAAAAATAAATAAAAAATTGATATATACGTACTCTGAGGACATCTTTAGGAGTTCTTCTTATGTGCGCAGTGATAAATTCACAAACGTAGTATCCACACAAGTTATTACCTGGTTGCTGCCGCAAACACCACTGTACGAGAAGAAGATTATTCTCATCATATCACACGTACATTGAAGTACGATATAGTAATTAAACACGTGGGGAAGTGTATATAGTACAACTTACTGGTATTTCAACTACATTAAGTGGTGCCTTGCAATCCTTGCGATGTTGCCGAATAAACTCTTTCTAAACCCTGTACGACCAATAATGTACGATCGTTAATAAATTATGGCAAAGTCTATTCAATAATAGTTGTGCGCGAGAGATCGAAATTACCCCTGGATAATGTCTATCATATCTTGGTATAGTGCCCGCTCTTTTCTCAACGAGTCCAAGATTACTAACCGACTTGAGTTTAACTCAATGACAATGAGTATCTAGTGAAAACTGCATTGGTTTATACACACACGTACATGCATATAAGTTGTATTGATATTACATAAAATATGTAGACTACATTATTATTAACACTTACTCAAAGTTGTACGGAAAAAGTATTGTTGTCTTGTCGTGCTGCTTCACGAAGAACATCATGATATTCTCCTGTGCTTTAGATACCCACCGCTCCTTGATAATAATACCGGTTTTGAATACGATATAAGGATCAATGAAGCCAACACTATTGTCTTGTATTCTTTGGAGCTCTGACATCTGGAATCTATATATAAATATAAGTTACATGTGAGGATAATTATATACACGTACGTATGGAAGTGAGTTTATTAAATAAAAGTAAGAATCACTTACAAACAAAAGGAGCTAATGATTGATTTGTCCAGAGCGTCCAAGTGGTATAGTTGATGCAATTCTTCGAAACTAATATGTAAGATGTCATTGCCACGGAAGTAATGATGGTCTCTAAATCTAACAAAGATCCACTGCTCACCCCTGCCACACGCCTGCATGTACCACTTGTTGAGCAAGTACATTTGCGTACCCAATTCATTTAGAGCCGCAGGGTTGTACCGACTTTTGCCATATTTATAAGTCTTCCAGGTATCAACTTCCAGGTTCTGGATTGGAGCTTTGCCCATCAATTGATCCAAGGTTAAACCAGTATCTTCAAAAAAAGCATTAAGGGCTTGAACCGACACTTCTCCAGAGTTGTCTGGTCGATAGACTTCTATGTTGGAACCATATTCATTAGCAACAATAAGATTTTGCATTGGTTGCTTCTGTTGTCTGAGCTGTGGGACATCCTTCCCTGATGCTCTTTTCCTTTTCTTATCTGCATCATGTGACTTCACGAGGGAGCGGTCATAGTCTGATAGTGGCGAAGGCTTACGAAGTTCAATCATCTTTTTCTTATGAGCATCGACCTTACGCCAAAGACATCTCCCGTATGTAAAAAAATCGGCTTCTCCTTAAGCTTCGCTTGACTCTTGTTTTGATATCTATAAAAAATCTTTCACTTTTTTGTCTTCTTCAAATTGCTATTTGCTCATCGGTCTTTTCAGAAGTATTTCTTGAGAAATAACTCTTTTCTCGGGGTCTTCTTTGCACGGGGACCTTAGACGTCTTTGTAGTGCGTCATTTGTGGAGGGTGGGGCGGTGTTGGAGATCGGCGTGGAGGCGATGAGGCCGGTGTTGGTGGAGACCGGCGTGGAGGTGTTGGAGATTGTTGTGGAGGCGGTGGGGCGGTGTAGGAGTTGGAGATCGTTGTGGAGGCGATGGGGCGGTGTAGGAGTTAGCGATCGCCGTGGGGATGAAGTCGTCTCCCCCCCCCGTATTTGTGATGAGATGGGGAATGAATGATTAGGCTAGGTGGGGGAGACCACCTTTCTGAAAACAAGTTGTGTGTCAATTATTTTTGAAGCCAATAGAAAATTAATGGAAAATAATATTTCATTCACTTTCATTCGTACCTAGGGTGAGGTAGGGAAGGTGGCGCCCAGAATGATGATGAAGCGTTTGCGCCATTGAATAAATGTCTTCTCCGCTTCTCCTAGTGTCTTCTCCCCATCACCGCCTTCAATGTCAAGAGAAACATTGCTGTAACCTTTGAGCACTCTATCGACCGAGACGCTAGCATATCCAGGTTGAATAACTAACCCATGGATTCTTGGTGTCTTCGTTCGGTCTATTAGAGATACAACCCCGACAGCCACCATGATTGATGCATTATTACCATCTAGAATGTGCAGCTCACATGTTGTTAGAGGCTCGATAATGTCATCAATAGGGAAGCGCAACCCAGCGTCGTCTTGAATAACTGGCAGCTCCGTAGAAGCACAACTGCTTTTCATCTGACCAACGGGGCTAATGGTGACTCCCGGCGTTGATTGCGATTGCATTTGACTCATTGCTAGCTGCACTTGCCTCTTGATCTCCTCCTGCATTCTTGCCTCAAGAGATTTTTCTCGTTCACGTGATTCAAGCAATGCTTGTCGTGACTCATCAACAAATTGCTCCAATGCACGGATTCGTTCTGCCTCCTCATCCTTCTTTCTCTGACGGCTTCTGTAGGTATCCTTGTCTGCTGGGAATGCGTGTAACCACAGAATCGCCCCATAGCCTCTTGTTCGACCACCGTGTTCGGGATTCTCTAGGGCATATGTCAATTCATCCCTCTCTCTGTTGGGCTTGAAAACACCACTATCAGCTTCTTCCCTAGCACGAGCTAGTCTCTGTGTTGCTCTCTCAATTTTTTGGCTGAAAATTAGCTTGCCAGTGTCTGGGTCTAGGCTTCCCCCATGAGCGTAGAACCAATTCTTCGCGTGTTGAGGCCAGTTCTTCTCTATTGTTTCAGGTATGATTCCCTTGGCAGTAATCTCTGCTTCTAGGTTCTGCCACTTGGGAATAGCACTCCTAT